TTTTTTCCTCTCGATCTCGAAATATTTCCTCTTGTTTTGAAAAACACAGATCACCTAAGATGACGAACTGTGTAGGGGGAAGGTACCGGGTCGAAACAAGAACCGCAGATGAAAATTTTGCACTTGGCACCGTTCGGTTTGATGACAGTGTGGTGAAACAATTCATTGCTCTAAAATTTTCCAAAGGGTTCTCCTCCTCCCTCCCTCCCTTTATTTTGGTCTCCGCATCCCTCCGTTTGCCAAGCCTGTAGCCTGTGTTTGTTATTTCATTTCCACGACAACACGAGAAACCAGCTTTATGCATCCTCGAATTGGACACTGACCCACGGAGGAAAATCGTTCACTTTGGGGGGGCGATCACAGACTCTTTGCTGACTTTGCTGCCACCCACAGAAGTCCTCCCCCATACTGAAATGACTTTTTTTTCCCCCTTCCTCCTTTAGATAAAAATGAGTCTTTATGCACAGCACTACTACGGAAGCTTTGATGTGTTAATGAATTGAAAAATGGTCTTCAACAGAGTTCAGTTATCCCTGCTGAGCTTAATTTGGTTGAGAGGGTGTGCAGTGGTGGTGATGGTAGGGGGGTGGCATTTTGGTGGGAGGTGGAGGGTGTGTGTGTGTGTGTGTGTGTGTGTGTGTGTGTGCGTGCATAGGCACTTCAAAACAAACCCATAAACATTCCAGGATCTTTGGGGCAGCTGTAGCTCTGAGTTAACAGCACGCAGGGTGTGAAGTGCAAGAAAAAACCACATGCAGGTAGCATAGAAACACCTACTTATTTTATTTTTTTTAGTGCTGATTTTCTGGGATTTGTTCATTTTTCTCCTGCACTTTTTTTCTGCATCCATCCCCATTTGCGTCGTTCTTTTACTGTCAGATACTAAACTTTTTCCAATTCTTTCTTCCTGTGACAAAATGTCTGGATGTCGTTAAATCCTTTGCAGCTACACGTGCTAAATCATTTAAAGGTTAAATTCTGGAGCTTTCTTTTACATTCTCCACACTTAAGCGTGTCCAAGCTCAGTCCGGTCTTTGTTGGCCGATCTTATTGCACAGCTGTAAATCTAGTGGATGCCATAAGAGGTCCGCTGGTACTTCAGCTGGGCAGAAAACGCGATCCATCGCTTTCATGTTCTGCTACAAGGTGTTAATGGTCACAAGTGCTCACAGCTGTGTGTGTGTCTGAGATGCTTGATCACAATCACAGACCCCTACCTCCATGCCCCCACCCGCTTTCCACCCCTGCAGCCCCAGCCACTCAGTGTGACGTGTGTGTTCTTTGTCACATTTCCCTTAGAAGAAGTTGGACAGGCTGTTTAGATCTTCACATGCACATACACACACATGCAGGGAGTCTCTCACCAGTCGATGTATATTGTTTTTCCCACTCAAACCTGGGACCAACCATCTCTCCATCTAAGAGCAGACTAAGGGTTAAAAGGCTTTGAACTCATTTTTCAAACTTTGTTCAGGATTAAATTGCCCCGCTCCCCTAACACTGCCTTCATATTCCATCTTGGATCATTCTCCAGGGTCGAGAATTAATTCTGATCTTGGACTCTCCAGAGTATGAAAGCACAGCAAATAAATCCAGCAGGATCTCTACACAAACTGCGCTGCCTTGATATGAATTTATACATAAAACAGTATTTTCATTAGCTCGAGGATTCCATACAAATTGGGCAACATAATAACCAGATGGAATTGGGAAACAGTCTGGGAATGTGCTCCCCTTTTTCTTCCAGGGCCTGCAAGTGGGTGGGTCAGGGGGGGACTTGGCCTCTTTCCCAACCAGGTGCCAGGCTTTCCTTTGAGTGTGGACAGCAATATGTATTGCTCACCGCATGCGGGGTACTTATTGCTTAACATTTGCGCTTGAGGGATTCTCCTCCAGTGAAATTGTCCTTTAAGTGATTGCAAAAAACTCAGATCATTGAACTTAATAGAACTGGAGAACTGACCTTGGCTAGAGCAGAGAAATGAAAATCATCTGTAAATTATTGGGAAATATGTCTTAAAGGTCACACATTATACCATTATCATTATAAGTTCATCTAAGTCTCATATCTCTCAAGAATGTGCATGTCAAGTGTCAGCTTAAAATACAAAATGGATTTCTCCTCCTGCAATGGTTGTACAAACATGGTCTTTGCTGTGTTTTATAAAGTTTCCCTTAAATAAAATAAGCTGCCACTGCCAAGGCCCCTATCTGGAACAGCGCTGTGCCTTCTCCTGCCATTGCAATAGATATCTCAGAACAGGAAAAGTAAAGCAAAAGAACTTTGGTTACCCGCCATAAGCCCAGATCCTGTAAGTATAGACTTACCCACTGTCTTGTAACAAAACTCCAGAATTCAGCCACACGTCTGAACCAGAACTGGACCCAGAGCAAGGAAAGAGTCTTACAGAATGAAATACTGCACTAAATTTTCACATAATAGAGTTACCATTTCTAAAATCACTTGCATTATGGCTATTTATTTTCCACTTATGTACAATCGGGCTAACTGAGTTCAGCCCGCACTACAGGACATGAAGAGACATGAAAATACCCACTTGTTGTGTAGCAGTCTCAGTATTAAAGGCTTTTTTTGCTGGCCTTTTGTATTCTAACACAACGCTGGTGAGTAGGCGTATATACTCAGGTCGTGCAAATAGTAGCCAGATTAGCTGTGCAACATGCTAACACTGAGTGTTTTCCGATCAGGCAAGAGCGGGTAAAATGTACTGCATTCATTCAACACTAAGCATTAGTTTGATTGTAGTATTTTTCAGATGTATAGCTAAGAGCTTTACAGAGCTACAGGCTCAAACCAAAAAATAAAGAAGTAAAGGGTCATGGAGTGGAGTGGAGTTGGGGGGGGGGGAGCTTGGTTGAAGATGAGGACTGTGTAGTTGTGACATAACAACGTTATGGAAGGCCCTTATAAGTCGTTTTTAAGGTAGTTTCTGAACACAGTTTGTGTGAATCTCTATTTTTCTAAATCATTTATAGTCCACCTTTACATATTTGTAATGAAATGGGTACTGAGATCTCATTTTCTACGAAATTTGAACTTTTAAACTTATTTTGTTACGTGTTCTACAACTGGTTTCTTATTTTGTCAGTAGGAAACTTAATTACTGAAAAGATTTATATAATTGATAAGAAAAAAATTGATATTTCACAAATCTTTGGAACAGCATTGCTGGAGTGACAGAGTCATTTAAAAGATGATCAATTATTAATTGGTCTTTATATAAACACTAAAAACTTATAAAAGCGCGGGTTTAATACATAGAACATAAAAGTGACGTTGGACAAAATTTTATTCAGTAGTAGTAGTGATGATGATGATAATAATAAACTACCTGTTTTCATTACTCATTATGGCACTTAATTACTTAATTTTCTTATTTATTTTACTGTTTTTTTTCTTTGTATAATGTATTTGTACATACTGTCTGTGAAAAGCTCTTACAAACGTTTATTTACTTACTCAACACAAAGGTGTAAAGGTACCATGTTGTGGTTACAGGTGTTACAGGTGTGTTATGTACCATTTTTATGCTCTTTAATTCATACACGGCCGTAGTACCTTTGTAGCTCGGCTTTTTGCCTAGCAACTTCAGAGTGGTGACGTGTCCTCATGAAGTGACTGCACCTGGGCAAGAAATAGCTCTACAAACAAACAAGATATAATGTGTTAATTAGTGAGGGCTGGCAGATTTAGTTGCCTCCAGTCAGAGCCAGGCTAGGTGTTTGGCCCTCGTAAGAGGCTGTTCTCGCTAGCTTCATGTTTATCCATCTGGCATGAGGATGGTGTCAAACTTGTAGCCCTGCAAATATGATCATGTTTACACGGAATGGGTAAGACAGAAAATATACATTTCACATGTTTCTGTAACTGGCCCCTCTGCGCCTTACCCTCACCCAGGGTGTTTTAACTTAGTCTCTGTTGCTACATCCTTTTTGTTTTATTCTAAACATTTATTGTGTAGTGAAATCTATTTCCTTGAAGCCACTCCAGTTTGACTAAAGTTAATGAATATCACTTTCTGTTGTGATCCTCTAATACTTCTGCTTTGCCACAACTGTTGACATTTTCACTCAAACAGCTCTGCTGTTGTTTACCGCTTTTCAAATGTATCTGCAGATAACTTTGAGCTAAAGCTAAGCTCAGCGACAGTTGACTTTGAAGCCACGGCCAAGTCTTCAGGTTCCAGGTCTGACTTTGATTTAACCAGCAGAAGTTCTGGATCAAAGTCTTACACAAGCACGAAGTGTGGGTTTCTCATTAGGCTTCTCAAATGCAAAACCCCCATGTTTAGATAATGAAAAGAGTTTATCAATAATGTCAGAGTTGGTGAACGCAGTTTTATGCTGAGGATTCAACGGAAAAGACTTGTGAGCAAAAGAGACATTAAGGAACCAGCTGGATTTCAAGGGTAACTGGGAGAGCTATAACCACCCCTCACATGTCCCATATATCCTGCTCGCCTCATTTAGAAGACAGCTAGCTCGAGCTCATTCCTATATCTGAATTGGTCTCGCTTTTAATAGATCTAAGAAGTCTTTACTCATCAGTGATTCATGAAATTAATGTCTCTCTTTCCAGTGATTAATAACTAATGGGCTGAGAGAAGCCGAATTCATTAATTATGAAATGGAGAAAATGAGCTCTGCAAATATCACTTTTGATTGATGAGTTCTGGAATAGCAGCCAAGCCCACAGACGCAGCGTAGATTATAAACCACTCATTATTATTATTATTATTATTATTATTATTATTATTATTACACTGCCTTACTGGAAAATCTTTCCCAGCTCTCTTGTGATATACATACCCCACCAGTAAGGATATATTTTACTGCTGAGCGTGCTCCATGTGAACATTTCAGCCTGCTAAATTTATGTTTGAACCCTAAGATAAATACTGAGAAGTTATTGTAAACTTTCGCATCTATCCTCCTCACCCTTGCCGATACCATAACGGCTTTGCTCTTTCCCTCCGCAGCATGCAACTGCAACCTCCACGCCCGCCGGTGTCGATTCAACATGGAGTTGTACAAGTTGTCAGGGAGGAAAAGTGGCGGGGTGTGCATGAATTGCCGCCATAATACCGCAGGACGCCACTGCCACTACTGCAAGGAGGGCTTCTACAGGGACATGGCCAGACCAATCACCCACAGGCGAGCCTGCAAAGGTGAGAATCTAACAAGAAGTAACAGTAGTGTTTATGAAGAACTTTATTACTAATTTTCCAGCGTGGCTTTCAAGATACTCTGCTTTTTTTTGGGTCTGTGCTATTTGCTGCATGAGCTCATTCCTCCTCTATACTTCTATTAGGCTTCAGTCAAGCATACTGCAGAACTGTAGCACTCATTCATTTATCCTTGATTATGATCAGAGCTCGCTCTTCATCTGCTGTCAGAAATATAACACACAAGTGGTTTCCTGGGAAAGAATTACCAACCACAAGTCACGAGCAAGGATCGCTTCGCGTCACGTCAGTCATTAATAGAGTAGAAAATATTTGTTTATAGATATATGTGATTATATGAAAATGTCCCAGATTATTACTTTAAATGTAGTTTAGCTTTTTCTTTGGCGCTACTCGGTGCTAAATGTTTACAAAATGTTCAAACAAACACTGATTGAGCCAGTCTATGTGTTTGAGAAAGGGGAGAAGTAGTAATATTTTATGAGTGGAAACATATGTTGTCATGGCAACTCTTACTATATATGTGTATATATATATATATATATATATTTTTTAAAAATCAGCATGTCTGATTTGCCATACCATAGCAGAGAGAAATGATTTGATACTATGCCTGGAGTCTTTCTGGCCACCCCACCGAATGTTTCCCCCCTTGCCCACACACCACATAATATTTTCATGTAACCAATGCATTTCTCATGGAAAATTGATTTCATTATTTCACATTTGCAGTGATATTTTTCATCCCTATATTATGCTGGAAATATTGCAAAAATAACACTTGTTTCCTGTATTTGATGCTCGAGAAAATACTCAAATAAATAAGAGTGTTTTGTAGCCGTATGATCCAGATGAAGGTTTAAAAAAAATCACTTCCAGAACATAAAAAACGGCACTAGTGAAAGCTGCCAACACTCATAGCCATGAAGATCTCCTGGCTGAAATTTCACGGTGGGAATCTCTCACTGGCTTCTCTTCAGTTTTCCTTCTGCAGCCTGTAATATAACACCGAGAGGTTAGAAATGGCATGATATCAGGCCGCAGTTGCCCGTGGTAGTTGCAATGAGATGTTGAGCCATTCATCATGTAATGGCTAACAAAGATTACAAAAAAAACCCCTCCACAGCGACTTGGTCACATACCTTAAAACTCAAGTCATTTGACCTGTTAATGCACTGAAACAATAACAGAAAGGGATCTGCTGCACCCTTGACAACAGATCCACTCTGAGATGTGCGTCCCTATGTGCAAATAATTCTCTCATCTTTCATTTCCTGCTGTACCTGGAAGCATAATGTTTTCACACACATGCAGGCCCCTTGACACTACAGTTTCTCCGCGATCCGAGTCAAGTGATCAGGTTATAAACAGTTTAACACCCTCCTTTCCAAAAGCTCCAGATGTGACAGAATCCAAGCTTACATTTATAAAGCTGAGGGGGCCAGCTCCATGATTGATCCACAGCCTTCTAGGAGATGTCATTTTCTTTTGCTCTCTTTTTCTTCATCTCTGTCTTGCCAGATGGTTTACAACCAGGACCTCTGATTGCACCCTGACTTATGACTTCTCTCACTCTGCCTTTCTACAAACCCATTAAACCTTTGTCTTCCTCTTATTCTCATACCAGCATCCATGATTTTCTTTCCAGCCCTTTGCTTTCCATGTCCTTTCTGCCTGTGACCCGGTCGCGACAGAGGTCAGGGGTGTGGTATTGTTGAAGGGGGTGCGTGTCATGTCGTCATGTCTGAAATGGAGTTACTGCAATAAAATACAGGTGTGTTCAGAGGAGGAGGCGGGAATAGAGGGAGGCTGGTGGGCGGTACAGAATCTAGAAGGGGTTGTGTCTGTTACTGATCAAACTTGTCTAGGTCTAGTTGTCTGTTCACAGTGTGAGGCGTATTTGAAGGACTCTAAACACAAAACCAGGATTCCTGAAGTAACGTGGATATTTTAAGTCCACAAATCTGGAAGCTACTTTCCATGACAGCAGACAAAGGCTGTCTTCCATGTGTCCTCACCCCCAACTGCTCGCAGCGGATGGCTGCCCAGCCGTGAGCCTGGTTGTTCTGGAAGTTTCTTCTAGTTAAAAGGGAGTTTTTCCTTCCCGCGGTCGCCAAGTGCTAGCTCATAGGGGATCATCTGATTGGTTGGGGTTTAAGTATTAAATGCCTTGATGTGACTGTTTTTGTGATTTGGCGCTACATAAATAAAACTGAAGTGAACAAAGTGCAGTCACCACAAGTTGAGTAACACAGTCACTTAAAATCACTTGAATCGCTTAAAACAAGCAGACGCCTGAGAAAGGGACTGCAAATCCCAATGCAGCGCCTGTCACATCTGCAGTCACATAGGCTTGAAAAGCCATCAACATCTGAGGACATTTTTACAGCTTTCTAACTGGCTCTAGCCTCTGCACATAAAACCTCAGTTTGAGGAAGGAAGGCTGGGGGTTAGACTGACACGACCAAACCCCCGTCTCCATCCTGCCTGCCCCTGACAGCTCGTTCAGATCTGGCCGTTACTGGTTATTTACTGAACAATGTGAACACTGACAGTAACCTCTGAACTCCAAACAGTCCGAGTCTCAATTAGAAGGGAAGCGAGGGGGTCGCTGTGCATCATTCGCAGTTTGACAGGGCTGGTCAGTATAAACAATGTTAAGTGATCAGTGCAGAGACAATAGCTTGTAAAACTTCTTGCCTTTGTCACATGTCTCTGCAGGAACAACTTGGGATTATGACATGGGTCATCTCACATGTGCTTTTCCTTTGGTCTGAAAGCGTTTTTCATTACTTGAAAAACTGTAAAAGTTGACGGACCAATGCACTACATCATTTGAGTTTTATTGAGAATGCAAACTTCAGGAAAATTCCAAATAGTTCCTAGCCAGAAGCAGAAGAAACTCTGGCTCTAAATGAAGGTGGAGGTTGCTGGCACAGCCTAAAAAGTGTCTGGTGACCCACGGCACCCGATTAGTCCTGCATCACACCCTGCCACATGCTTAACGTTCTTGTCCTTAGTTCAGTCGCACTTTACCAAGTGCCTTCAAAGCTCAAGTTTCCCATTGGAGTCTGCGTGACTCAAATAATGGGGATTTTGCACTCATGATGAAGCATCAGATTTACATCTCGGCTTCAAACAGTGTGCAGCCACTTTGACACCTGTAGACTTTGTTGGCCTTGCCAGAAAAGGCAGACACGATTCTAAAGATCTGAGCTGAGCTAATCTCCCCACACCCTGCCGTCATGCAGACACTTTTGGGTCAGTTTCAGCCATTTAAACGCTCGCTTTGCCGATCCAACAGGTGGTAGGGTCCTCTCCTTTGTTGTAGCAACTTAAAAAAAAATCGCCGGGCGCAAATAAACACATTAACAGTTTCGTCAGGTGGTGGGAAGAAACCGTGGCATGTTAGCAGCTGCCTTTCCCTGGCAAGCTCTGTAGAAGTCTGTTGGATTACAGGGTTTTTCCCTTGTATGAAATATTGGTCCTTCTTGCCTTTTCTTGATAAGCCTGGACAATTACAACTATTGTGTTACAGCTGAGGCCCTTGCAAGTTTGCTTTTGCCATTTTTTTCGTTAGTCTGAGAGTATTTTTCCAAAGTGTCAGGCTGAAAACAAAGGGGGAAAAGGCAGAGTTTTCCTACTGGGTTTCATGGCTTATTGTGTTTTTGCTCTCACACTTCCTGTGTTCTTGTAAGCTTTTGTCAAATGGCTTCAGCCAACACTCTATGCCTCATATAATTAACTGCTCTTCATACTCCCAAAAAAACTAATGAGTTAAAGTGGCTTAAATAAATCACCTAGAAAAGCAAACCTCAAAAGTCTTGCCAAAGTGAGGTGACCGGAGCATTGCCTGTTGGTGTTGGCATTTGGTGGGCATCCACGGAACTTTTGGGAAGTGATGAAACAGCAGAGCGTGTGTTACCAGGCAGGCAGGCACTAGACTGCACGCAGCATTCAGGAAAGAGGAAACGAGCATTTGGTGTGCGTCTCCTGCTGAAACTGATGCACAACATGCATCGTTCACCCAAACTAATAGCTTTCTGTGCTTTTAGTTGTCCTGTAATGTCCTCCACACAAATATCTTATTTCTCATCAGTTTTCTGGATATGCATGCAGTTTTTCACAATGCAGTAGTTTGAGAATCCTAGGTATAAAGGCTAAAGACATGTGGGCCCCCAAACATTCAGTATTAATGCAGTCAATCAATCATTAATCAATAATATTTACTGTATTTCGGAGGAGTTTTGTCTTGTCATTTTGCATTTTGCAACATGTTTGATGAACAGGTATCTCTTATCTATTTTATCTGCC